ATAAGGGTAAATTTATCTAAAATCTAATAAAATAAAAATTAAATTGTATTTAGCCTACCCACCCCGTCCCTTTCATACTCTCGTTGGATCTCAGTTCTTCTTCGATCTTCCCACTCTCTTCGGCCCCAACGCAACAGCTTCACCGCCCACCTCCATCGCATCCAACGAGATTACGGACATCATCACCAACTGAGGAGTTACCGAGCGACGACGGCGATTCCGGAGCAGATGCGGCGCAGATGCGGCGGCGTTGGATGCCATTGATGTCGCTGAATTTGGGAGAGAAGGGGGATGGGAGCAGCGCGGTGGCAATTTCTCAGGTCAAGCGAGAGGTGGCGGTGCTGGACGCACTGTTTTGGGTTTGTGGACTTCGAATCAGCTAGCTCCATGGAGAAAGCCCTTGAGGGTTTTTTCTCATTTAGTGAATCCGGACAGGTTTTTGCATTTGGGGGGATGGGGAAAAAGAAACAATGAGGGCCGCTTGGCTAGCTTTCCCTAAACAATGAGCGCCATCGGATTCCGGTTGTTCGCCTGTTCCTCCTGGTTGAGAGCGGCGGCGACGACCTTGACCAGAACCTGGTCCTCCTTAATTTCCGGCACGGAGACGCTCTCGTCGAACTTCAAGACGTTGACGGTCCCATGGTCTCTGTAAATCCAGGCCTTCATCGTGGAAGGAATGGCGGAGACTTTGACGGCGGCCTCTGGGGATGCCCGGGAGCTTGCGGAAACTCTCAGAGGAATGCGACGAGAAGGCCGGCGGGTTGAATCGTGCTTTAGTAGCGAGGTGGGGTTTTTGTTTCTGGCGCCGGCGAGTTGTTTTTCCCTGAAAGCAGGTGAAAATCGGAGGGAGTGGAGTTGAGGGGAGAATGTGGTCGGTAAAGTTCGGAGAGTTGTGGATGTGGCTAGCTTTCCCTAAACAATGAGCGTCTCCGTGCCGGAAATTACGGAGTCTATGCTTCAATTGCTTTTCTTCCTCTCCATCTCGTTTCTTTACGGATGAATTCCCTAAATACAGATAAAACTAAAACAAATTCCTAAACTACCACACTTTTAAAAAAATTTCCCAAAATACCTAAGTTTGGAGTGGTTCGAGTTTGAGGAACTCGAACTACTAACCGGTTCGAGTGTAGGAGACTCGATCTAGTCGTAGATCGATGATATAAGCCTCGAACCATGTGGAGCTGAAGTGGTTCGAGTTCAGTGAACTCGAACCACTCCTTTGAAATTTCCAACAAGCTTAACTTTGTGCTCGGTTATCCGATCGTAACAAAGTTTTTTTTCATTTCGCATAACTTTTCGAGGACTACAACTTTTATGATAGAAATATTTTCAGAATATATGTGAAAATGTGAAAAATAAAGTTAAATGTACTCCCAAACCACCTTATATTAAAAACTATTCTTATTTTGAAAATTTATTCCTAGTAAATGTTGTAGTACTCAAAAAATTATGCAAAACAAAAAACAACTTTGCGACGTTCGGATTGCGGAGCACAAAGTTATGATCCTCCAAAGTTTGACAAATTCAAAAATTTGCTCGTTTATGGGTAGCAAATGACGTTTTCTAGGAAGATAGCCATCCATAAATTTCTCGTTTGGAAAAAAATTGCTCTTTTGGAAGAAATTCCCTATATATAAAAAAATTTCCCGTGCCTTCGCCCCGAGAAAATGTCATTTGTTACCCCTAAACGAGCAATTTTTTGATTTTGCCAAACTTTAGAGGATCATAACTTTGTGCTCCGCAATCCGAATGTCGCAAAGTTTTTTTTTATTTTGCATAATTTTTTGAGTACTACAACATTTACTAGGAATAAATTTTCAAAATAAGAATAGTTTTTAATATAAGGTGGTTTGGGAGTACATTTAACTTTATTTTTCACATTTTCACATATATTCTGAAAATATTTCTATCATAAAAGTTGTAGTCCTCGAAAAGTTATGCGAAATGAAAAAAAACTTTGTTACGATCGGATAACCGAGCACAAAGTTAAGCTTGTTGGAAATTTCAAAGGAGTGGTTCGAGTTCACTAAACTCGAACCACTTCAGCTCCACATGATTCGAGACTTATATCATCGATCTACGACTAGATCGAGTCTCCTACACTCGAACCGGTTAGTAGTTCGAGTTCCTCAAACTCGAACCACTCCAAACTTAGGTATTTTGGGAATTTTTTTTAAAAGTGTGGTAGTTTAGGAATTTGCTTTAATTTTATCTGTATTTAGAGAATTAATCCTTTCTTTACTCCAATTGAATTTGCTTTTTCTAATGACAATTTGAATGGACAGTGAAGAGAATCATTGATCCTTGGAAAGCTATTTTCAAGTTTTAAGTTGATATTTGTGGTATATCTATTGAGATGTGTTGTTTAATTTTGCTAATTATAGAGTGTACTTGTGGTCATATGTAGTTTGGTGTCAAATGGGGTTGTAGCCTTGTAATAATTTTGTATTTATTTGTTAGTTATCAGCACCATAAACCGCCTAATATAAATTATAAACGCAATAAAAACAACCACAAAATGCATACCAGAAACCTCATAATGCAAACCAAAAATCCCCTAAAACATACCAGAAACCCCATAATGCACACCACAAATATTCCGAAAGCACACCACAAACCCCCTAATGCAAACCACAAACACGGTAAAGCAAACCAAAAACGTCCTAATGCAGACCACAAATATATTAAAACAAACCAGAAACCTTGCAAAGCAAACCAGAAAAGTTTCGAAAGCACACCAGAAACTTCTTAATGCAAACCAGAAACCTCCGAATGCATACCACAAATCTCCTAAAACAAACCACAAACCTCACAAAGCAAACCACAATATTTGCGAAGCACACCAGAAACCTCCTAATGCAAACCACAAACACAGTAAATCAAACCACAAAAAACAAACCATAAACGTCCTAACGCAAACCACAAATATATTAAAACAAACCAAAAACCTCACAATGCAAACCACAAAGTTTTTGAAAGCAAACCAGAAACTTCTCAATGCAAACCACAAACACGATAAAGCAAACCATAAACTTCTCAATGCAAACCACAAACACGATAAAGCAAACCATAAAAGGCATAAAAAATATGAGAAACCAAACCATAAATCTCACAATGCAGACCATAACATCCGGTGGTCGTTGACCGTTGACCGGTCAACGAAGTTCGTTGACCGAACTCCGGTGACCGTCAGTGAGCAGATTCCGACGCCGATAGGCATATTCCGGCCCCGGTGACTAGATTCCGACGCCGGTAAGCATATTCCGACGCCGGTAAGCATATTCCGGCGACAAAAAGCATATTCCGGTGACCGGCGACCATTTTCCGGCGACCGGTGGCCGAATTCCGGCGACCAAAATTTTTGGCAAAAAATAAAAAAATAAAAAAAAATTTATTGTTTTTATTTTTTTTATTATTATTTAAATATATTTTTCATAATGACAATTATACTCCTGCTTTGATTTTACACTAGGTCAACTCATCTAATAAAAAGTCATCATAATGCTAACTTCCTATTGGTTGGAGGCTAGTGTTGTTACAATAACAACACAAAAGGTGTTGTTATAGTATCTAGTCCCATAAGAGTCCAACCCAATAAATACATAGTAGCAATAGTTATTAAAAAAAGGGTTAATAGCATTTTGTACCCTTCTACTATGGTAAATTAACAAACATACCCCTCTACTAAATTTTTGCACAAATATACCCTTTTAAAATTAAAACGTAACGAATTTACCCTTCCATCCATTTATCTGTTAAGTGACCGTTAAGTATGATGTGAAATGACTCTATTACCTCATTTACTCTTAAATACTCATGATTTTGATTTTAATTATTTTATGTCCATAATCAATTAATTAAAAAATAAAAAACCTAGGTCGACGGCCAGCTTCCCGCATCTGTCACCGCCGGTAGTGATCTCACTTTGATGAAGGCGGCGGCGGCGGAGGATGGTCTGAGCGACTGGAATACGAAGAGGCGGCAGCGGAGATGAGCTTTGTGGTGGTTGTGTAAAAACCCTAAACTAATGGGCTTTATTTATAGTGATGGTTGGTATTACTACCACCATCGCCAGCACAAATCTCAACCAATATGCTCCTTGCGTGAAGGAGCTACGGCTGTAGCATGTATGAGAGGATGGTGATGAAGACGCGGACACCAGCCCCGCGGCGGCTCTGGGGAAGACGAACGGGAAATAGTTTAGGTTTTCAATTTTTTTAATTATTGATTTGGGACATAAAATAATTAAAAATAAAATCAGGAGTATTTAAGAGTAAATGAGGGTAATTGAGTAATTTCACGTCCCACTTAACAGTCACTTAACAGTTCAATGGATGGAAGGGTAAATTCGTTACGTTTTAATTTTAGAAGGGTATATTTGTGCAAAAATTTAGTAGAGGGGTATGTTTGTTAATTTACCATATTAGAGGGGTACAAAATGCTATTAACCCTTAAAAAAAAAGGTTTTCACCAAAAAAAAAAAAAAATACTTTCATAGCCTTCCGTGAGCTGCGGAGAGGCCTCCAAATTTGCTTTTAACGCACTCCCTTTGAAGAATCTCTTTAAATGGATGTGTAGATTGATGAATGCTCAGCGCGTATTTTACACGCCTGTCACCTAACCTACCTTTATTCTTCTCCATCATGAGCCAACGACCACCGTCGGATCCTCTATCCCAAAACTGCGACCGTAACGACAATTCAAAAATCAATCACAGCCGTACAAAAATCGCATCCAGCGACCGGGGACTCCCTTCTATCATAAAACTCACGTGGTACGATCCACTGGACCCCACACATCCCTTTTATTTTCCTTTTTCTCTCCTTAAAATGAAAATAAAAGATAAAATTTACCATTTTCCTCGCCGGAAACTAGAAAGGAATAACCACAAAAAAAAAAAAAAAAACTAGAAAGGAAGAGAAGAGAAGAGACACCCGGCCCGACCGAAGCCGATCAGTATTAGGAAAAAATAATATAAATAAAATTCCCTCAAAACCCTCCAACAAAGCCCAAACCCAAAAAAACCTCTCGAATAATTTTTTTTTTTTTATATATAAAGCCAACCCTTTCGCCCGATCTCCAACTCTCTCCCTCTCTCTTCTTTTTGAGGGGTCTCTCTCTCTCTGCCAATTCCGCCGTCGCGGCCGCAGCTCCCGTACTCCACCAGCGATTCCCTTCTTCGCCGGCGGTTCTGTGTCCCTCGTATCGTCACCACGTTTTCCGCCTCCAGCTCTCTCTCCGTGGGTGGGGAGGAATAAGAAACCCTGATTTGATTGTTTCAGCTCCTCGGAGGTATGTCCTCTGCCGTCCGCTCTTGTTTCCTTTCTGACTGTCTTTTCCTGATTTTCGGTTTGATTTGGTAGAGTCTTTATATTCTTAAGTTAGTTAGTGAAAGGTATTTAGCCGGTGATTGTGGAATCAAGTTCCGATTGGGTCGTCGGAAAGTATTGTGATTCTTTTATTTAATTTTCAAGATTTATTTGCTGTTTTTGCTAGATCTGGTAGCTGTTTCGGTTCTGAGATTGATGTGATCATTTTATATTATTGTTTTGATCTTTATTTGTATCGTTTGTGTTTTTTTTTTCTTTCTTGAGCTGTTTTATTTCTACTTTTAGTAACATATACATCTTAGTTTATGGTTTTACGAAGCTTAATTGCTGTTTTGATAAGTGTTACTGATACTAATCAAGGACATATAAACTAAGCTGAAGAATACTAGTTCCTGGTAGGTTTTTATTTTGGTAGTTACTGTACGGGAGTCGAGCTGGTCCTGCTTGGAAAGTGGTATTTGGGTTTTTTATGCCGTGCTTGATCTTTTAGTTAGTCTTGAATGGCTGTTTGTTTACTTTTGAGAATGAGAGTAAATGCACTACCACAAGTCCTCTACTGCTAGCGATGATGAAAAGATTCTCGCTTCTTTCACTTCTAATTCTTATATTGTGTTTGGTTTACAGCAGAGATGACAATGCACGGTGAAGATCATGTTCCCTCTCCCACGGCTCAGTTGGTTGGGAATGCTTTTGTTGAGCAGTACTACAACATGCTGTCGAAATCACCAGATGTGGTTCATAAGTTTTATCAGGACTCCAGTGTCATGAGCAGGCCGGTTGCTGATGGCCTGATGTCTTCTGTCTCAACTATGGCTGTAAGTTTATCAAAGAGCTCGCTGCTCGTCATGTATCATTCTGGTGCTTTCAATTTTTACCTGTCTCATTCAACTAGGAGGTAACTCTTGCATAGGTTCATCTGAATGATTGTGTTTTACCTATTGCAGCTTAGTGATCTGCCTCTTTTGCAAAGAAAGCAGTGACCTTTAGTTGGATTTATATATGTTGTGACCTAATTAGTGCTTGTTACCTCTGGTTCATATTCTAAATATCTTGATCCTTGCTGGGCATTCTTGTTTTGTCTGTACAGAAAGTACTTTGCTTGACATTTTCTTAGTACAGTTTGTTAAGTTTTCTTCCTTGTACCCGGATTTGGTTTATTGCTTTCTTGCTTCCGTATCGTTCTTTTGCTTAATATTGATATTGTTCTTGCAGGGGATTAATCAGATGATCCTTTCTCTGGAGTACAAAGACTGCGAAGTTCAGATACTGACAGCTGATTCTCAGAAATCATTTGGGGATGGAGTCATTGTTCTTGTGACTGGTTTCCTCACTGCAAAGGATGGGCTGAAGCGAAAATTCACCCAATTATTCTTTTTGGCTCCACAAGATACTGCTGGATTCTTCGTCTTGAACGATGTTCTGAGGTATGTGGATGAGGAAGAATTCCCAGCAGTGAAGGGGTCTGATGCTGCTGCTGATACTGCCCCTGTCGCTGCTCCTGAACCCGGTTAGCTCTGAATACTGGTTTTCTTAAGATTAAACTTTCGTTGGGCAATGTGCTTACTAATAAAACTTGATCTATGCTGTCTGATTTTGTAGAGGCAACTCCTTTCACCAATCATGTGGTGGTAGAGCAAGATGCTACTGCTGTTGCTGCTGAAGATACCATCCAAGCCAATAATGAAGTTAGCCTTCAGCTGGACAATGGTGACGTTGCTATTGCAGAGAAAGATTACGTACCAAATCATATAGCTGAGGCAGCAGAAGTTGATGCTGCTATTCCAAAGGCAGAAGTTGCACCCGAGGAAGAAAATCATCACCAGCAGGCTGAGACAGTTGCTACCCCTATTGCTCTGGAGGATGCTCCCAAGAAGTCTTATGCTTCAATTGTGCGTAATTCTCACATATAAAGCTCTTTTTTGTTTCTCATTTTTTGGCCGAAACGATAACAGCCTTTATATTATCTGGTTGCTCAAGTTTCTTCCCTCTGCATGTAGGCTAACCAATTGAACTACAAGCCCCATCCATTCCAGCAGAGGATTGCACCACCAAAACCTGTGGTCCATGCTCCTGTTGCTGCTGCAGCTGCAGCACCAGCAGCTGCACCAACAGAAGCTTCTGCTCCTCGCCCTGCAAGAAACAACTCCGTTGAAAGGAGCAACAATTTCACAGGTTCTTAAAGTTTGCTTTTCTACCCTTGCTGGTATCCGAGCTCATTGTTTTGGTAACGTGTGTTTAGCCAAATTCTAATATATATTTGTCAATCTGTTCTGTCGCAGGGAAGGGTTACTCTATCTTTGTTGCCAATCTGCCCATGGATGCAACTCCTCATCAACTCTACGAGATTTTCCAGAAATTCGGGCCCATCAAGCAAGGTGGTGTCCAAGTCAGAAGCTACAAGGTCTTTGGTTTGATATATATTTTACAGCACTCGGTAGTTTCTCTTACTTGGTTGCTCTGTATGAACAATCCTGACATGGTTTGTATCTTCAATATCTTAATTTCCAGCAAGAGAGGAACTGTTTTGGGTTTGTGGATTTTGAATCAGCTAGCTCCATGGAGAAAGCCCTTGAGGTACTGTTATCGCCGTTTACTGATTCTTACTTGATTTTGCTTTGCGTCCTTTCATACTTATTCTGACTGGTTATTACTATAGGCTGTGACCATCATGATTGGCAACCGGGAAGCGCATATCGAGAAGAAGAAAGGTAATTTGCTACTCTAATTACCTTTCATGACAATCTTAAAATCAGCAAATATTCAATCCCTTGGTCATGTGGATGTTAACATCTCTCTCTTTATTTCCTTGTGCAGCTGCTGGGGAAGGCGGGAAGTTCACTCCGAGAAGGGGTGGTTTCAGGAACGATGGCTTCAGGGGCCGCGGAGGGAGCTTTGTTGGAGGGCGTGGTGGAGGCTATGGGAAGGGTGAGTTTGAGAACCAGCAGGGCGGTGGCAATTTCCCAGGTCAGGCGAGAGGTGGTGGTGGACGCAACGGCGAGGTGAAAGTTTATCAGAACGGAGGTGGGAGAGGATCCCGTGAAGCTAGACCAGCGCCACCAGCAGCGGTCGCTGCCCCCACCGCTGTCGAAGGTGGAAAGAATTAGACCTTTCAGGTGGTTGTTTTTCGTTCCTTGTTATCTCCTTGCTCAAATTTTGTTTGCTCTTTTTTCCCGTTAATTTTTGTTCTTTTTTTTTTTGGCCTCTCCTTACATTATTATAGGGAAAACCATTATTAGAAGACTTGACTTGCGGCATTTTGTAGGGTTGTTTGGTTTACTTTGTTAAAATAGAGGACTTTGTTACTTTGTGTCTGGAATTATCGTTTGGCTGTTTGGTAGGGGTTGGGTTCTCTTTTCTTCTTCTTATTTTTTTTTTTTTTTGTGGCTGAAGTTATTAGGTCATTCATCTCAATTGGAGATGTACTATTATAACTTTATAAGTCTATCGTCGTCGGTTTCCAATTCTGCATCTTAGATCTTTTTTTTTTTCCCGTTGAATGTGGAATCGTTTTATTGCAAAGCCAAGGTGAGGAAATACCCCCACCTCGATAAGGTTCAATAAATACATTTTTAGTGTAGTTATCATAAACTGTCACAAACCTATTCATTTTGTACAAAATGCTCATAATCCTTTAATTTTGCACCTTTCGGTAATAAAGGTTTGACGAATAACAAAATAGTAAATTCGTCCAATTTTGTCCAAGACTTTGTCCCAAATTGCCTCGTCAGCATGACATGTCAGTGTAAATAATAATAAAAAAATGGCTAATCAATCCATTTAGCAATCCAACTGGCCAGATTAAACCCTTTACCCATCCAGTCTCCAATTGAACTATTACCCCCAAATCGGGCTACGTGGGAGAAAGTCAGAAAGCAAGTCGCGAGGAGAGGGGGAGACTGGCGATTCTCCTGCCGTCAACAACCAGACCTCCTCCAACTCATTCGTCCACCATCCACTTCCTCGCCGACGCTCCTCCAATTGATTCGTCCGCCATCCTCTTCCTCGCCAGCGCTCCTCCAACCAATTCAATAGTCGGCTGAACTGGGGGAGGTGGGGGCGATTCATCTTCTATTTCCCTGGGCTCTGCATAGAATCCAACAGCTTTACCTGATTCCATGCCACTTCTATTCCTTGATACTCATCAAACGCCTTGTAACTGAAAAACGAGTAATAGCAACGAAAATTAAGAACTATGAGACATTGAAACGAGTAGAAAGTAAGCAGAGCTTAGTTGTCGTTAAACGATTCATTTTAGCAACACACAAAGAAGAAGGGAAAAGCCATAAATGGTTGAGAAAAAAAGAATGAATGAGAGAAATCGGTGAATTGGGTTAGTTTGGCTAGTTACTCTGCCATATTTGCCAGTGGGATCGAGTTCCATGAACTCAGTATGAGGATCTGAGGATTCAAATTGCAGCCTTGATGGACTCGACATTACTGCTCCTGGGGTTTCAGATTGGAGCCTTGATGGACTCGGCATTGCAGCAAAGAAAGAAAGCGTGGAAAAAGGCCTGCTGCTTTCAACTCTCAAACATGGAATAATAACACTCTGTTTCCGAAGAGAGGGAGGAAAATGGAGAGAGGAAAGTTTGGAGGAGAGGGAAATGGAGGGAAAGAAAAATTAGACGAGAGGAAAATGTAGTTTTATGGAGGAAAGTGAAAGGAAAAGTGGGAGAGAAGATATGTATTGGGAAGGGTGATAGATATGTTATTTTATTGGTTATATAATAGCAAATAATTAAATTATGTGATGATATTATTTTCTTACTTATGATTGGTGGATCAGATTTATTTTTCTTGCTAATTTGGTTCCTTATTAAAAAAATTCCCTTGATTTAAAATCTGATTCATTTTAATTATATTAAAAAAAATTCCCATTAAAATTGGATGACATATTATATGGTATTACTCATATATGTTAGATGAGATTTGATATAATATTATAAATGTAAGAACAATATAATGACATTTTTCATATATCTGGACTAAAACGGTCGGATCGTTAATCCTCAACCCACTTGCTCGACTGGACTAACGAGCTAAACCGGGTTGACAACCTTGCATAACAAACTTTTACATGTCACGTAACAATATTACGTATCGCGTAAACAATATCATATGTATGAGTATAAATGGATATAAAATCAATTGTACTCCGGTCAAACCGTACCAATTACAAAATCAACGTAAAAGTATAAACTAGTTTGCCAATGCTATTCATAATTATCCTTGCGATATAATTACTCAACACAATCATTTGTTTTTAATTTTTTTTGAACAATATTTGTTTTTAAATTTATGCTTAACAATAAGTGATAAGTTACCATTTATAACAAAATATATATGTTTAACTATATATCATACGTAAAAGCAAAACAAAGGAAAGAAGAAAAAAAAAAAAAGAATGACCCACCATAGAGAGCTTTCTCTCCAAAATGGGGGTATGGTTCTACATGAACCTTTCCCTTCCCATTTCCATTACCTCTACCCATTCCCTCCTTCAAGAACGTGGGAGAAAGTCCTCGTTATTTGCGCTTTCTTCCCTTTCTTTTCCTCCCCTTCACTTTCTGCCTTTTATGAACATAGTGTAAAAGAACGCAATAAAAGTAGACGGTGTTTTGTCAAATCAGTGGCGGACCCAGCATTTTGGGATAGGTGTGTAGACCAATAAAATAAAAAATAGAAAAATTATAATTAATTAATTAAAAATAAACATACATATTTTATTCATAAATTTCACCAATTTCATTATTTCTTGCTGTGAACCACGACGATTTTTCATAAACAATTATTTTGTCCATTAGATTGCAAATCAAATATTTTTTATGTACAAAATTAAACAATTATTCATAAACTGGTCACTCAACTTTTACCGAAGATTGTTCTCGATTAAACTCATATTTGGAAAATGTCACTTTGTAGCTTGCAGTTGCAAGAGGTAAAGTCAATACTAGTTTAAGATGAGAAATTTGGTATGAGAAGCTCGAAGGGTGGCCACATGTGTCAACGTGAAAATTTGAATGAGCATGAGGATGTCGTTGGCTCGATACCGATAATTGAAGGGTGGCTACAGGCATCAACATGGAAAGATATAACTAAACTAGAAAGTAAGTTGAAAATTAACTTAAAGAAAAATCTGTGGAAGAAGTTTTGGAGAAAGACAATATGGAATTCACTATCTAACTATTTGACTCAACCAGCTTATTAATCAAATTTAATTCTCATTCAAATAATTGATGTTGTCCCTAAGGTGATAGTTCTTTCTAAATACTCCCTACATACTAAGTAGTCAATTAATTGTTTACTCTTGTGCAACCAACTAATTAACTACCTAATCCGAAGTCCGATAAGTTCTATATTACATATTTTAATAATATTATGAATTTTTTTTTGTAATGTAATAAGGTGTGTCGGTTACAATTATTGGAGGTGTGTCTGAAGTCCCATATTCGTATTTCTTACATCGAAAATTTGTGGGTTCTTCACAAAAATTTCGAACCAAGGTGTTTCGGCTGACACACCTTGGTGAAAGGTGGGTCGGCTGACACACCTTGGTGAAAGGTGGGTCCGCCCCTGTGTCAGATAATGTTCCCCTCCCTGTAAATGGCATCAGTACATTGGTCGGTTCTCAGCAGAGGCACCAAGGGACACAATCTCTGTCTGCCCTCCTTTCCGCCTGTGCCTGTGATATTTATTAAAACTATACCATAAATATATGCATATACCATAGTCTCAAGTTCTGTTCTATAGTCTCTATCATTTCTTGTTTCCATGGATGAGGAATCCCCAAGGTAAAGTCCTAGACTATTTCTTGTTTCCATGGAGCTGGGACTATTCAGCGACGGAAGATGAATCGCCCCCACCTTTCGCAGTTCAGCCAGCGAACGAATTGTTTGGAGGAGTGTCGGAGAGGAGGAGGATGTCGGACGAATCAGTTGGAGGATCGTCGGCGAGGAGGAGGATGGCGGACGAATCAGTTGGAGGAGGTTTGGTTGCCGACGGAAGGAGAATCGCCAGTCTCCCCCTCTCCTTGCGACTTTCGTTTTGGCTTTCTCCCGCAAAGCTCGATTTGGGGGTAATAGTCCAATTCAAGACCGAATGGGTAAAGGGTTTAATCTGGCCGGTTGGATTTCCAGGTTAAGTGGGTTGATAAGTCATTTTTATTATTATTTACACTGACGTGGCATGCTGACGGGGGCGATCTGGGACTGAGTTTTGGAAGGAATTGGACGGATTTACTATTTTGTTATTCGCCCAAATCTTTATTACCGAAACGTGCAAAATTAAAGGATTATGACCGTTTTGCACAAAGTGAAAAGGTTTGTGACCATTTATGATAACTATCCTATATTTTTATCTATCTAATTACACTGAAATGATTATGACCGTTTTGCACAAATTGAAAAGGTTTGTGACCATTTATGATAACTACCCTATATTTTTATCTAGCTAATTACACTAGCTTTTATCCAACCCGTTAGTTGGAAGAATTTATCTTATTATTTTTCATTACTTCATGATAATCAATTCATTCATATTTCAAATGACTTTGAGGCATTGTCACTAGTAAATTAAGAATCAAAAGTAATCTTTGTACTACTTAATAATTGTGGCATTGGTAATAATTACTTAATTAGTTCATATGTATTTTTGTTCATCCGATTATCTTAATGACTACTTTCTCTCTCTATATATATGGTTCAGACTAGCATACGTCAAACGTACATTATACGTTCGTCGTGTTTTACTATTTAGAGCATGAATTAACTAGAGTTTGTGGCATGATACTATACCCTAACATCTAATGAGTGAACTCCAGTCCCTAATTTATGGTTGAAGCTAGCGTACGTCAGAAGTACATTATATGTCCTTCGTGTTTTACTATTTAGTTAACCAGAGTTTGGGGCATGATACTATACCCTAACATCTAATGAGTGAACTCCAGTCCCTAATTTTCTAACCCAAGTCATACGATTCATTTAATCTAAAAACATAATAACCAACAGTTCCGATTCAGCGAAATATATTGAAGTGCAAAATTCAAGTGTGAACACAGGCATACAACATACTCCTGACATACGCTAGCTTTTGCCATACATATATGGGTGAGTTCTATGAACCCAGAGTGAAATTCAGGGTACTGCATACCTTGAGTAGGAAAACGCTATCCAGACCTTGAATTGACTTATCTTTCGAACATGATACTATACTCTAACCCTTAAAGATCAAAATTTAAGTCTTAATTCTCTAAATCTTATACGCCAAGATCAATTTAATTAGAAATAATAATCGACGGTTATGATTCGTCTAAATATAGGCAAAAATGAATGCACCATCTTAGGGTTTATAGTTTATAATTTAGATGATTAGGACCTAGGGTTCACTCTTTAAGGGTTATGGAATAGTACCAGGCCCAAAACTCCTGTTAATTCAATTTGTAGATAGTGTTTTCATACTAAAGGAATGCGATACCTTAGATTTCACCCGGGGTACCGTAGAAGCCACACACACACACACACACACACACACACACACACACACACACACACACACACACACACACACACACACACACACACACACACACACACACACACACACACACACACACACACACACACACACACACACACACACACACACACACACACACACACACACACACACACACACA